GGGGTGGAGGAGCCCAGGGCTGGGATAGCAGGGGCTGCGGGTCGGGATTATGGGGCACCGGCAGGGTTGGGTGGGGGGACCCAGGGCTGGGCTGGCAGGGGCTGTGGGTCGGGATTATGGGGCACCGGCAGGGCTGTGAGGGGGAGCCCAGGGCTGGGATAGCAGGGGCTGGGGGTTGGGGTTGAGGGGCACCGGCAGGGCGGGGGGGTGGGGGAGCCCAGGGCTGGCATAGCAGGGCTGTGGGTTGGGATTATGGGGCACTGGCAGGGCTGGGGGGTGGAGGAGCCCAGGGTTGGCATAGCAGGAGCTGTGCATTGGGATTGAGGGTCATTGGCAGGGCTGTAATGGGGGTAGAGTGCAACCAGCCTGCTGTATTCACGGCTAACTCCAGTCTGCTGGCTTCTGAGAGCCCGGTCTCTCCAGCCAGCCGGGCCTCTGGGATGGGCAGGGGGCTGAATATTTCTTCATGGCGCTTGGCTGTTTGTGCCTCTCGACGAAGACCCTTCTCCCCAGTTCTTCTCCGTCCTGGCTCCGTGGTGACTGGTGTCTTTGGGTGTTTCCAGGGCCCGAGATTTGATGGCGCAGCCGGGCAGCCCATCCCAGGATGAGATGGAGCAAAATACACCCCAGGCAGCAGAGAACCAGTCGCCTGCTGAGCCCTCAGAGGATCCCGAAGCACAGCAGGAAACGGGTAACCAGTGGGGGCTGGGCAGCGCATGCACCAGATTGCAGGACCGTGACGCCAGAGCTCGGACGGCAGCTCTCTGGGCTGACAGCTCTCACCCGTAGAGCCTGAGCTAAACTTCGCTGGCTGGCGGGTGGCAGCTAGTTCCTTTCTGGGGTGGAGGGGCGCAGCGAGCTGCTTGGGGTTACGTTGGGCCATTGGGGCAGACCTGGCTCCTCTTCTCCCCTCTGGGGAAGGGTTTGGGGGGATTTCGCTTCCTGCCCAGCTGGTTTTCTGCTCCGTTTGCTGCCTGTTCTCTCTCCGGCGCAGGGAACGAGTCCCAGCTGGATTCTCTCTCTCTCCCAGCAGGTACCGGGACGGAGGAGGAAATTCCTCTGTGGGAAGCGCCTGCAGGAGCAGAGCCGCACGGGCCATCCCGGAGCCCCAAGGCGGGGGAGGCTGGTGAATTGGGACGGCAGAGGCGGGCGAAGCGGGATGGTGAAGTGGCCCCGCCAGGCCGCGCCTCCCGCGAGGGGCCCATTATCTGCGGGGACTGCGGGAAGAGCTTCGCCAAGGACTCAGAGTTCGTCAAGCACGAACGCACCCACACGGGGGAGCGACCCTATCAGTGCCCCGACTGCGGGAAGGGCTTCACCAACAGCTCCAACCTCCTGCGCCACCAGCGCATCCACAGCGGCGCCAAGCCGTACCCCTGCGCTGAGTGTGGGAAGAGCTTCCGCCACAAGGAGCACCTGACCCGCCACGGCCGTGTCCACGCCACGGAGAAGCCCCATGTCTGCGCCCACTGCGGGGAGGCCTATAGCACCCGCACCAACCTGCTGCGGCACCAGAGCAGCCACACGGGGGAGCTGCCCTACAAGTGCCCCGAGTGCGGCCGGCGCTTCGGGGAGGCGGCGGCGCTGGCGGGCCACGCGGTGATCCACAGCGGGAAGCCCCACATCTGCCCCGAGTGCGGGAAGGGCTTCCGGCGTGGCTCGTCGCTGCGGGAGCACCAGCGGGTCCACACCGGGGAGCGGCCCTACGGCTGCCCGCAGTGCGGGAAGGGCTTCAGCCAGCGCTCCTCCCTGGTGCTGCACCGGCGCACCCACACCGGCGAGCGCCCCTATGTCTGCGGCGACTGCGGGCGCAGCTTCAGCGTGAGCTCTGCCCTCATCACCCACCAGCGGCTGCACACCGGGGAGCGCCCTTTCCCGTGCCCGGAGTGCCAGAAGCGCTTCAGCGACCGCAAGGCCCTCAAGCGGCACCAGCGGGTCCACACCGGGGAGCGGCCCTACCGCTGCACCGACTGTGGCAAAGGCTTCAGCCAGAGCTCAGCGCTGGCTACCCACCAGCGCATCCACACCGGGGAGACCCCGTACGGCTGCGGGGCCTGTGGCAAGCGCTTCGGAGACCTCTCGGCCCTCAAGCGGCATGAGCGCATCCATACCGGGGAGCGGCCCTACCGCTGCGGCCAATGTGGGAAAGCATTCAAGCACAGCTCGGCCCTGGCCCAGCACGGCCGTACCCACACCGGAGAGAAACCCTACGTCTGCTCCCAGTGCGGCAAAGCCTTCTCCCAGGGCTCCACCCTCATCCAGCACCAGCGGGTGCACACCGGCGAGCGCCCCTACCCTTGCCCCCAGTGCGGGCGAAGCTTCTCCCAGGGCTCTGCCCTCACCCAGCACCAGCGCACCCACACCAAGGAGAGCGACCCGCTGACGGGACCCGGTGGGGCCCGGATCTACCGGGACCCTTTCGTCCAGCTGCGGGATGAGGATGACGAGGAGGATGGGGTGGGGGAGGTTCTGGTGCTGCCTCCAGGGACGTGGGACGCGGAGCTGGACGTGCAGATCAAAGAGGAGCCGGAGTGATGGAGGCGGGTGGGAGCAGGGTGTTGTCGCCCGCCATCTACTGATTCAGCGTGGCTGGATTTGGGTGTCACGGGGAGTAGTTGTCTCTGCACCAGGAATCCCCTCTGCACTGGAGCTGGGGGCTAAGTGCCCGGGATGGGGGCGTCTCCCCCTTCACCATCCTCCACTCAGCAGGGATTATTAACCCCCGTAGGCCCAACCCGTTCCAGGAGGACCTGTCCCCTCACTACGTGGATCTCGCCCTCTCTGTGCCCTGGTCTCTGCTCCTTCCCATCTCCCGGGGCTGGCGAGGAGTCGGGGGGCTGGGAGCTTTAGGGGCTGCTCCCCACAAGGCCAGAGAGATGGATGTTCCCAGGTGAAGGGCAGCCCCTCTCCTTTCCGGTGCCATTAGCCCCCCCCTGAGCTAGTCCCCAAGGGCTGATGTGTATGTTCCCAAGACTCCCAGGCCTGTCTGTCGTGATGGGCACAAGGACGTTTTTTATCCATTGTCTGTTTCTACTTCTGTCTGAAAATAATAAACCCACAATACCTCCCTCACACACGGTCCGTGGCGGCTCTGCAGGGGCAGCAGCTGGGTCATGCTGTTGACATGCAAAGGGCTGCAGATGAGAGTGGTTAGATCAGTGAGGTGGTGGGGCTTGGTGTGTATTTAGTGAGCTGGGTACTGGATCAGGAGTCAGGACTCCTGGGTTCTATCCCTGGCTCTGGGAGGGGAGGGAGTTTGAGTGGGGGGAGGGGCCAAAGCAGGGAGTTAGGACTCCTGGGTTCTAAGCTCTGGTGCTCACTTGCTGTGGGATCAGAGGCAAGTCACTCCCCCCCACGCCCATGCCTTGGTTTCCCCATCTATATGGCCTGGATGACGCTAATTAGCTCTGTTGTATAGCACAGGGATCTAGGGATGAATGATGCTCTGTAAGAGCCAGGAGCTGTTACTCTTAGTAGCACCTCCAGGCCTCAGTCAGGGAGCAGGACCCCGTGGTGCTGGCTGCTGCCCACACATCTCACACAGATTCAGTGCCAGGGCTGAGACTTGAGTCCATCCCGGTTGTGCGGTTTTCCCCTACGGACTACCCTGGAACCTTTGGGTCTCAACATTCCACCCCCAGCCACCACAGAACCCTCAGGCCCCCAGCATTCTGCCCCTAGCTGCCACGGAACCCTCGGACCCCCAACATTCCACTCTGAGTGCCATTTTCAACCACCATGGAACCTTTCATCCCTGCCACCCCCATCCTGCTGCTGCAGCCAGGTTGGTGCTACCGAGCTCACTGCAAAGCCCTGTCTCCTATGCCTGTGCTCTGCCTGTTGCCACCCAAGATCAACAATGGGGAGGGGTCCCTGGCAGCAGCCATTTTACTATCTATTGGGCCTTTTCTCCTCGAACTGGGGAGGGAATTTGGAACAGGAAGGGGAGGGGCATCCATAAGCAAGGAAATCCTCAGGAAGCGGCGAGAGGCCGACAATGTGTGTTCACCAGAGTTGGGGTTCGGCCTGAGTGCCCAGGTTCACGTCCAGACTCTTGGGATAAGTCACACGACATCTATAATGGATGCAAGTGGCCTGGCCTGTGGTTTAGATGCCAGCTGAATTCCAGTAGCCCACTATTGATCATTTAGATTGCAACCCCATTATTGTAGCGCATGCCACTGGCATGCTGGGGCATCCACTTAAAATACTGACCCACAGGAGAGAGGGCCCCTTACTGAGCCCCCATCCTGCCCCCTGCAGCACAGCACCCCCCCAGCACTACACGGGGGGGGGGTCAGCACTGACTGTGGGGAGAGAGTGCCCCCTACTGAGCCCCCCACACAGTCCCTTCAGCA